TGAGTCGCAGATTCCCTCACGTTTTTATTGTGCTTACCCAATTTCCTTTTCTTTTTTGCAATGTGACGTTCTATTTTTTTCAACCCCGTTAACAAAAACACTGAAAGGTGAATGTACTGGTCAACAGCTGCAAATAATATACGTGTAGGACCCTTGTTGGTTACAGAATTTTAATTATCTGTAATTAGCGAAACGAACCGTTATAATTAAAGACCCAATATTTTCGGCATATATTTTATGTCGTTATATATACTATTGAAAGGTGAATATACTGGTCATGTTTCGTCGGACAGTTGTGAATATTGTACGTGTAAGACCCTTGTTTCGCTGATTACAGATTTCTGATTATCTGTATTTAGCGGACGACCATTTACTGATTAAAGTTTTCTTGTACTCAAAGGCCGGTGGCCTATGTACTTGAATAAACTTATTATTTTGTTAGTTTCAGAATCTTATTTTAAGGAATTTCAGTGGAATGTTCATATGGCCATTTTCAAGGAATCTCATTGGAATGTTCATATGGCCATTTTTAAGAAAGAAGTCTGAGGAATTTTGATGTGGCCATTTTCAAGGAATCTCAGGGGAATGTCCACAATGGAATGTTAATGTGGCCATTTTCAATGAATCACAATGGAATGTTAATGAGGCCATTTTCAAGGAATCACAGTGGAATGTTCATATGACCATTTTTAAGAAAGAAGTCTGAGGAATTTTGATGTGGCCATTTTCAAGGAATCTCAGGGGAATGTCCATATTGCCATTTTCAAGGAATCACAGTGGAATGTTCATACGACCATTTTCAAGGAATCACAGTGGAATGTTAATGTGGCCATTTTCAAGGAAGCACATTGGAATATTCATATGACAATTTTCACGGAATCAGTGGAATTTCCATGTGGCCATTTTCTAGAAAGCACAGTGGAATGTTCATACGACCATTTTCAAGGAATCACAGTGGAATGTTAATGTGGCCATTTTCAAGGAAGCACATTGGAATATTCATATGACAATTTTCACGGAATCAGTGGAATTTCCATGTGGCTATTTTATAGAAAGCACAGTGGAATGTTCATATGACCATTTTTAAGAAAGCAGTCTGAGGAATTTAAATCTGGCCATTTTCAAGGAAGCACAGTGGAATGTCCATATGGCCATTTTTAAGGAATCTCTGTGGAATGTCCATGTGGCCATTTTTAAAGAATCTCAGTGGAATATTCATATGGCTATTATCAAGAAAGCATGGAGGAATGTTAACATGGCTAAATGTGGATATTTCCAAGTAACACAAATAAATTCTTATAATCATTACAATATGTAAATATATTTATTTTATTGCATTATTATTGCTGATCTATAAAGGCTTCATTGGGTTAGCATGAATCCCTAAACATTTGTATAAATTCTACTTCAATAAAAACTAATTCTTGATTAGTTTGCATTCAGTAAACAGTCTAGTGCTCTAGAATTCCATTGCTATACAAATAAGATTTCCAATTAGAGAAAAAAACATATAGAGGGTTGTGAACTGAGGCTGAAATGAAATCCATTACAACAATTGTCAGCATGATTCTCAATACTTTTCCCACTTTAAAT